ATAAACAACACACACTCACACTCTCTTATCTTACTTGTTATGTTGCCTTTCTAAAATCTGGGAATATCAACATTCACAGTACTGCACAAAAATCTTTGTCATCCATGTTAATATTTTTAATCCTAGCTCACTCTGCAAATTGGCTTTATAAGAAAGCATTTATGAAATCTGAACAATGTCCCAGAGTCTAAACAGCAAAATCAAACCAGGCATTACCAGTAAGTTCCTGCTCCCTGTGAAGTTAAATCCATCCCATCCACACCGTAGCTATCATCATCCATTATTTTGGACAGGCCAAAATCAGTAATTTTTATTTCTCCACATGCTGTTCCATCTACAAGAAGGATATTACCTATCCAAGGGGGGGAAAAAAAAAAATTACCTCAAAAAAGCTAACAGAATGCTTTATTTTCAAAACCCGGTTCAATTTTCAGGAACATCTAACTTCGTGAGGGGTAAATAACAACTTTACATCATCTTTATATCCTCAAGTCTAGAGTAACTTGACTATGACACATTTCAGTGCAGTCTCAAGAACTCTCTAGGTTATCATCATCATCTGAAATGGCTGCCTCAGCTGGGAGCTGGCTGGACAGCTAGGAAACACCAAAAGGTAGTGAGGAAACACCAAAACGTAGCAGTATACCAGTTACAATGAAGTTTTACATTTTTCTGCCCAGAACAAATCCTACACTACAGGTTTCAGAGCTTGCATATGCCACGAAATTATGCCAAGAAATTGCTGCAATACTACTAATCTTACTCCATGTGTTAAAGTTGTACAATAATTTCTTGATACAAAAGTTATTTGATGAAGTTCCTCTGAGAACAAAAACTAATGAGACTAAGAATACATTCTGTACAATTCCGTAATATGAGAGAAATCCATATGAAAAATTTATTACATAGCAGCAAGCAAACAGGCTGGCACTAAGAGTTACATTACAAACCCCACGCTTTGAAGCGTAGCAGATTAAAGTACATGAAGAATACAAGCTTCATTTATGTAAGGTGGTAAAACAAAGGCCATGGAATCAAGACAGAATACATTGTTTATGACAATGCTTATTACTTGTGAAGAAAACTTCTGTAAAGTCCTGTTTCAAAGTGCTTATGCTGGGATGCTGAAAGTGATTGATTACCTATTTCAATCCTTTACTGGCTAAGAAATATGTAAGGGAAAAATTATTTACACGTCAGCATTCCACAATGATCAGACAAGACTGAGCCAACTAATGATCTTATCCATTTATATTGCTAAATACCAATGTATTTATCTATGTGCTATATGATTTTTTCCTACAAATTCAAATCAAAATAATACAAAGTAGAAAAGTTATGACAAACATTTTTCCAAAGACAGGTAATTTTGACAATAAAACTATAAAGAAAAGTACACACTTTTTTCAGTTGTTTACAATAAGCCTGACATACAGAAGATATTTTGGTATTTTCAGGCATGAATTACAAACAAAATAAAGGATTAAAAAAAACTCTGACATTTTCAATCGTAACGTTCCTCATTTACCTGGTTTAAGATCATAGTGTATAATAGGGGGCTTGATCTCATTGAGATACCGTAGTGCATTTACTATTTGCATTACAATGGACCTAGCTTCCTTCTCTGACATCAATTTATGTTGCTTGAGATAGAAATCCAAGTCATTGCCTTCACAGTATTCTAACACCGTGCAAAACCTAGGGTAGAATTCAGAGAGCAAAATTAAATAACATATCAAACTGCACAATCAGAAACAGAGCTATGTCAACCTAGTTTGATACTGGCAAGTTTAGGAATGGCTGCCCGAATATTAAACTATATGAATGAAATTCTTAATAGAATCATGGCATAACTATTAGCTTATGAAAACTGACATCAATGAGAACATTCATACTCACCAAAAGAGAAAATGGATCCATGCTGATGAGAGGTTAAGTTAAAAAAACCCCTTATTTATGTAGGCACATTTCTCAGTAGAAAAATATATTCACTATTCCTTAAGATGTGACACAATTTCATGCGAAGAGGTGCAGCCCCGTGACCATGGGCTACACTAAGGCTAATAACGCTCCTGATGCCATTTAGTCTTGGAAACTTGTCTAAGCTACGGCCGCCTATCGGAGCTGCCCTGCAGCAGCCCTTGCTCTGCCCAAAAACATGACAGCACTGCATGTCCCTTTCACCCTCAGGACATTCTGTAGGGCTTGGTAGTCAGGTCTTGCAAAACACTGTTTTCATCACATAGAAATCCGTTTTCATCTGTTTCACTGTTTTCATCATACAGAAGGCCTGCAATATTTAGCTGAGACAAAATTCTGCAACTAGTGTGTTTTTTTTTTTAAGTCCCTTTAAGGAAACCCTAAACGCTTTGGCTGAAAGCAAGAACATACTATGTTTGTTCAAATACTCTTCATTTCTGTTTATCTAATATACAGCATTAAAATCCTTGCCAAGTTCTAGAAAATGTATCATTTTATGTACTTACGTATCTGTATCCAGGGAGAAGTAGTCATACAGTTTAACTATCCGGGGGTGATCCAGTTCTTTGTGTATTCTATACTCTCTGCAGGCATGTCTAAAAGAAGATGGATACATTAACCTTCTACAATCAATAAAATGCCATTCAATTTAACATATGAAGCGTAAGTCATTAATATTTACTTGTGGTAGTTTTCTTTCTTTTCATCCCTCCAGCTTTTGTTAAGCTGGTGAATCTTCACAGCAGCATATCTTTGTTCGTAAAGATCAAAAGCCTAAAAAAGAAACCCACGAATACGGGAAAGTTATAACCAAAGATGATAAAAATAACACCCAATAAAGAGAGGAAAAAAATTGGCAAGTAATTCACAAGTCTGTTGACAAGTCTATTGTAATGCTACTTCCCTTCACAGGTTAATCGAAATTTGCTCAACCAGTGTTTAGAGTATACCACATTACAATCCTTCTGCTTATTTAGATCCCCTCCCTCCCCCCGAAAATTAAATGTACAAATGTACATGACTCAAACATCAGATTTAGCAGACCCAACACACTCTACCTTGTATACTTCACTGAAGCCACCTCGGCCAAGTAAATGGAGTAACAAATACCGTTCATTCAATGTGGGGTGATCTTTAAATCTCGAAAGAAAAAAAAAAATTAATTTAATTCTATTTAAGGTATACAAATAGAATCTAAAATGTAAGCCTCTTAGTATTACTTCTCAAATGGAGATTTCTTTTTACTAGCAATATATAATATGCTGAACAATATTACACCATGTGTAACCTTACGGCATAACTATATAACATGGCCAATTTCAGTACCTTTTGACTATTTAGTGTACAAATGCTATCACAACACCATTGTCAAACCAGTCAATTCTGGTAAACTTTTTGGTTTTTTTTTCTATTTTTGTGAGGATAAGAAAAGCACCCTTAAATTTAAACACATGATACAAGGGCTCTCTCTTTGTTGTGCCAAATTTTAGAGAAGTCTCAAACTTCAGCTTTCTGGAACAGATGACACGGATATTCTTCCAATTTCACACGAAACATGACCAGATCTGTTGTACATACCTGCCTCTTTTTAACCAAATAGATTTTATACAACACTAAGAAGTTAACAAACAGCAATATGGAGAAAACACACCAAAGGACTGAATATCTGCTCGTACTCCAATCAAAAGCAAGAAGAAAACACTCCTTCCAACCACAAAATGATACTGCAGGACAGAGAAAAGGACCACACTCCCTCCTGAAATGTGCAGAAGACAAAATACATCCTTCCATCCAACCAGGGGAAAGGGAGGTGAATATTCATCACATTTCTAGTGCAATGATGAGACAACTATACTCACTGATGTAGGGCCAGCTGCCAATTATACTCCATAGAAAACTTCAAGGAAGGGTTTAGGTCATCCCACCCTTCCATGTTCTCTACAGTTTTGGAGGTATGGTCATAGATAGTCAAGTATTCGAGGGAAGATGCATGTTCTTGCTTACTGTGTCCTTTTTAAACATAAAACTTTCCTTTTTCTCACTATGAAAATACATATTTCAATGCTAAAGACATTTTAAAAAAAATCCTAAACAGTAAGTAATGCACTCAGTGCAGAAGAAATAACAAATTTGGAGGTAACATCATTAGGCGATTAATGTCATGTGACCCGTAGCCCAATTCTTTAAAACCACACTCAACAAATTCAGATTCGTATTTGCTTGGTCCTTCTATTACATGTATGCCTCTAGTAGGGCCAATCTTGTGAACCTTACCACCTTCCCTCTCCGCTGCTGCTTTTGCTACTCTGCGTGGCTCTCCATGGCTCAAAACCTGCACCTTTCAGGTAGCCCCAGCATCACGTGGGCTCTATACCTAGACAGGGAAACCCTAACCCACACTCTCAACTTGACCTGTTATCTCAGTGCAGTTGTGGAAAAACACATGCAGACATACAAGTTTACCCATCTCTAAACTGGGCAGTATTTCCTACTCTTCATTGTCAAGGCTGGAACCCCGAACAGCCGAGTTTGCTGCCTACTTTATATTTGGAACGCCTGGGGAGGGCGTACATGGGTAGAGGGATGTAGACGGGAACGTTGCTAGAACAAGAAAGAGGGCTCAGCTTTGCACCACAGCTGGAAGCTGAAAACCCAACAGGATTTGAGTCAGGACCCAACAGCTGCTTCAGAACCCTCTCCCTTATCAAATGGCCAAGTTGCCAAGACATGTTAGGAAAGACAGCAGGGGCTACAGACCTAAATTACTTCTCCATTGCTTCTGTCTTCTATATTATGAGTGTAAGCTGCAGCTTGGCCACTTGGTAAATACTCAAGTCTAAACTCCCACAAAAACATGAACACACCGTTTGAAGCTTTTCGTTCTGTACCATAGAATGTGTCAACACTGATTGCAGAAAATGAGCAGTGAAGCTGCAGTATTCTGCTTGTCCATGTCCTGTAACTGTTTTCAACTGGGACTGTAATTTGGACATTCTTTGCCCCACATACGCAATATTTATACAGTCAAAGCCAGTAATTTTTCTGTGGCATTTATTCCTTCTTGTTGAAGGATCCCTTTTTTTTTAAAAAAAAACAAACACCTCTTCTAATCCAAACACTGAAGATTAAAAAACAGTTATCATTTAACCTGCAAAGAACTGCTTGTTTATTTGTTGTAGGACATCTATTTTTAAAAGAAAATATTCTGCCATCGAATTGTAAGCATCAACACCCATTATTTTTCATATTCAAAACACAACACCAATTTAGCTATCAATTAGCACTATAGCCACATGATAACAAAAATTTTCTGTATTCCTGCAGGGTAGGTATGGGGACCATTAAAACAGATAAGTACAATTTCACATCTTGTTGCTTTAATGTTTAAAAGTCTTAGTGTATATATAATTCTATTGTGTCTAAAAAGTGGGGGAAAAAAAAAATTCTGAAGTCTTAAGGCTACTGTTTCATAAATATTTACTAGTGCAGAAAGAAAGAAGCCCAGTCCCATCATCTCTTTCCCCCTGGCTGCTCATTCCACCCTTACATTGCCCTCTGTCCTCATGGCAGCATAAGCATTTTTGCAACTGGGGCGAAGAACTAGACCAGGAAATTGATCCGAGGTTAAAATTAATCTAGAAAAAGAAACCACAGGAGCTGGTTTTAATTTGGATCAATTTCCAGCATCTGTTCAGTAAAGAAATGCCATTGCAAGCATGTGAAAGGAAACAGGGTTAGGGCATAATGAAGTAGTCAGGGATAGGCAGAACCAGCTCCTTTCAAGCAACAGTGCCAGCTTAAAGTGCTGGTGAAACTGTAGTGTTAGTGTTTGTATTCGCCACCATGGAAAACAGACTTATTTTTTAAGTTATGTAATTATTACTTTCAAATCTACATAGTAATAGCTAATATTAAATACCAATTTAACATTATGATACATTGTCATGCAAGCTGAAGTATAGAGTAACATTTAACATAATACAAAACACTGCATTTGTCTTTTTTTTTTACAGTGCAATAAAACCAAAACTAATTTTAACTGCATCACAAAATTGCTGCTGTTCCATCAAACCTCCCCACCATTTTCTTGCATTATTGTCAGCTAAGTGAATTGCATTAGGTTCCCCTACAAGTATTTTTTTTAGCCTAGTAATAGGGTCTAGCAAGTTCTAGCTCTCCTGCACTATAAGCTGTGTATACATGTTATTTCTTGCATATTCAATAAAACCATTAATAAGTTTACCAAACTGTAAGTAATTCTATTTTTTTAAAGTTTAAATAAGTTGGTGTTTAAAATATATACATAAACAAAGAGAACCAAACAAAAATTTATGAACAAGCATCTCCTCTGTAGGTAAAATGTCATTTTAGAGCATTATTTTAAAAATAAACATGCAAAATTAAGACAGTAAGTCTCTTACTGTGAATTATCTTCATTATTTATTCTTTTCAGTTCTCTTATGTGAAGATTCCTAACTCTTTCTAAACGTTCAAGTTCTGCTTGTATTTCAGCTTCCTCCTGCAAATGAAAAGAATGAAATATAAAAGCTCATTTACTCCCCATTTGAAAAGGATATTTTTACCCCTGCATCAATACTAGTGGTGATGGAGGAACATTACATTACAAAACCTTTTTTTTCTGCTGAACTAGAAGAAAGCACTGCTTTACTCTTAAAGCCAGAAAAATTCAGAAAGATAAGGCAAAACCCTGTTCCAAGGAACCTTTCTGTCCATGAACCCTCAGGTAATGGGATGTTCACAGTTTTGTTCTGCACTGTAGGGATGCTATTTGAAATGAGAGGCAGCTGGGTTTTGTACCTCAGCCAAGGAGAGAAATTATCTGGGAAGCGGTCTGAAATTGATGTACAAAGAAGAAAAAACTGAGATATGTGCAGCTATAGATTTTGTACAAACCGACAAATTAAGAAAAGACATTTAAAATATTTTGAGGCTGAAGTGCAAATCAAAAAAAGAATAAAAGAATAAGTCATTACAGCAGAAACGTTCTTAAGGTGTTGATATAAGACACCAAAAACAAGCTAATTTAAAAAGATTTTTCCATTTTTATCTTATTAAAATTACAAATGTAGAACGTGCGTTGCCCAAGATTCTGAGTGCAATTTCAAAAGAAGCATGTCAGGTATGAGCACATTCCCTAACTAATTTCAGCACTTAAAATTATCTCATCTTTATGCTACATATTAGAGAACACTGAAATAGTTGTTTATTCAGATTCTCTAAAATGTAAAGAATTCACAATGCTTAATTTGTGGAAACCTATGTATCTATACTCAAAGTGAAAAGCATATTGAAAGACACTGTAGAAAGGGTTATATCGATTTTGGAGTTAGTACCTCTAGAACTTCAAAGTTTGAATAAAGGAGAGACAAAATTAGTCCATACCAGAAAGCTCATAATTATGGAATTATTCTAGCTGAAAAGGAAAAGAAGGCCTGGCATCTGATACGTATTTTTTTAGTAGCAGTGCCAGTGGAAGCAGTGCCCCACATCATCTCGTTATTTTGGCACAGCCTCTTGTACAGCCACATGGTGAACCAAACTGGAAAACTGATCAATCTTTTCTTTTTTTTAAGGGGGGAGGGGGG